CCATGATCAATACGCAGAGGCTTCAATCAAGCTCCTTGTTAACAGTGGGATTGACTTTGAAAGGAATCTGGAATTTGGGATTAGATCAATTGATTTTGGTGAGTTGTTGATGTCGTCGGGGCTTGTATGTAATGATTCAGTGAAGTTGGGTACCGTTTCAAGGTGCGAATGATATCGGGTACTTGTTGAAGATTCTCAGGGGTTGGAATCTTCCAGATAGTTTAGATGTGTTTTACGACTTTGTTAAGATGTTTTTCGGAGGTAAATTATATGATGTGAAGTGTTTGATGAGGCATTTTCATAATCTTCATGGTGGTTTAGACCGGGTGGCAGGACAACTCAGTTTGGTCCGGGTGGCAATATCAGGCCGGTTCAGATAGTTTGTTGACATGTCACCTCTTTTATAAGATGAGAAATGATTATTTTGTAAATGGTGTGCCAAACGTCGGTGTTTTGCATGGATTAACTTTGAAGCGTAATTAAAGATCAATTTGATTAGTAGTAATTGTTTGTGGATCCAATTGATTATCTATAGTTAAATTAATTAAAGGTGTATTGATATGATAAGATACAAGTTATATGACACAATATAGTACTAAGCCGATAAACTTTCTCGTTTCAATTTGTGTGATTGATATGATAAGATACAAGTTATATGACACAATATAGTACTAAGCCGATAAACTTTCTCGTTTCAATTTGTGTGATTTGATATTTGTAAGATCACAAGATTGTAATGCATTTAGATACATTCAATGTAGAATGATCAATTTAATTACAACTTAATCCTTTGTGGAATGAATTATATGGAATTATTTATCATTATTATTTTTACTATTATTTCAACCTACGACTTCATGTTGTTCGAAATTTTGATATTGTTATTTGTTATTTGTCAAAATTACATGCAATCATACAAATAAAAGTTGCTTCTATATTTCGAAGTATTTTAAATATTAAAATAAATCAAAATCAATGGACTTATAAGGAAAACTATATAACTATTTCCTCCGTCCATTTTTAATTGTCATGTTGCGTTTTTCGAAAGTCAATTTGACTAATTTTCAAAATTAAATTAGATTACATTAATTCCATATGAAAAGCATGAATTAAATCTTATTCTTCAGTTGATCAAATTTTATAGAACTTAGGATTCATATGAAAAGCATGAATTAAATCTTATTTCAATTTTTTTTCATAAACAGTCCATGAATACATGTTTTACCTAAAATTTAATAGTTTTATAAGGTTATTTTCGTAAGCCCCCGGAATAGGAAATATTCATGTCTTTGAAATTGTGTTTCTTAAATTACAAGTATTATTCGGGATGATAAAATTTGTTATGATCAATTGTACCTTCAATATTTCAATTCCACGTGTATATGATGCTTCTAGATAAAACATTTATTATTTCACTATTTTTGAGCTCTCCAGTATTATCATTATTGCACAATTTACCATTATAATTCAGTTGAGAGTATTACTTTGCACCGAGTAGCAATCCATATGTCTCAAAACTGCATCCCAACGTAGGTTTTAAGGGTCACCCATTAGATCAGGACTTGCACCGTTAGTTTTATATCCATGGATACAGAGTATCCCGACAACATCTACAATCCCGTCGTACCCTTTTCACATCTGTCTCCGGTGATACTTCTGTTGAAATCGAATGTCGATGAATTGAAGCTTATTCAGGTTGGGATTACCCTTTCTGATGCTAATGGGAACTTGCTGGAATTGGTAATTGAAGGTGAATGGTTTCGGGTTCTATGGCAGTTCAACATTTCTGATTTCGATCGGAATCGTGATCGATACGCAGACGCTTAAATCCTGCTCCTTGTTAACAGTGGGATTGACTTCGAAAGGAATCTGGAATTTGGGATTAGATCAATTGATTTTGGTGAGTTGTTGATGTCGTCGGGGCTTGTATGTAATGATTCAGTGAAGTTGGGTAACGTTTCAAGGCACGAATGATATCGGGTACTTGTTGAAGATTCTCAGGGGTCGAAATCTTCCAGATAGTTTAGATGTGTTTTACGACTTTGTTAAGACGTTTTTCGGAGGTAAATTATATGATGTGAAGTGTTTGATGAGGCATTTTCATAATCTTCATGGTGGTTTAGACCGGGTGGCGGGACAACTCGGTTTGGTCCGGGTGGCAACATCAGGCCGGTTCAGATAGTTTGTTGACATGTCACCTCTTTTATAAGATGAGAAATGATTATTTTGTAAATGGTGTGCCAAACGGCGGTGTTTTGCATGGATTAACTTCGAAGCGTAATTAAAGATCAGTTTGATTAGTAGTAATTATTTGTGGAACCAATTGATTATCTATAGTTAAATTAATTAAAGCTGTATTGATATGGTAAGATACAAGTTATATGACACAATCTAGTACTAAGCCGATAAACTTTCTCGTTTCAGTTTGTGTGATCTGATAATTGTAAGATCACAAGATTGAAATACATTTTGATACATTCGATGTAGAATGATTAATTTAATTACAACTTAATCCTTTGTGGAATGAATTATATGGAATTATTTATCATTATCATTATTACTATTATTTCAACCTACGACTTCATGTTGTTCGAAATTTTGATATTGTTATTTGTTGTTTGTCAAAATTACATGCAATCATGCAAAGAAAAGTTGCTTCTATATTTTGAAGTATTTTAAATATTAAAAAAAATCAAAGTCATAGGACTTATAAGGAAAACTCTATCACTATTTCCTCCGTCCATTTTTAATTGTCATGTTGCGCTTTTCGAAAGTTAATTTGACTAATTTTCAAAGTTAAACTAGATTGCATTAATTCCATATGTTAATTTTTTTTAAAAATATTTAGAAAGTACTATAAATTGTCATTTTTTTGCATATTAATATGATGAAAAATACATCGTAAAATGTTAGTCAATGTTCTTATTGTTTGCTCTTAAAAAGGAAATCATGCAATTAAAAGTGGACGAAGGTAGTTGTAAAATTTTAAAAATATTTAAAATTATTCCCTTCATTTGGAAATACCAATACCATATAAAAATAAAAATAAGGTCTACATTCTTCTTCTTTTTAAGATCTACATTCATTTTACTATTCTAAGACTCGACTAATGAAGTTATATTGATATCGTTTGTTTACCAAGCCTACTGTATGAAAAAATAGAAAGAAAACTTGCCCAGAAGTACCATTGTTTACATATTTAGAAGTATTTTAAATATTTTTAAAAAATCATAGGACTAATATAGAAAATATAAGTAGTAAAATTATAAAAAATAGTTCAAATTATTCCATCTATCTATATATGTACTGAAATTTGAGTTAAAGTTACTAAATTCTGCCAAATCGGTAGCCACCATGCAAACAAGAAATTGCATGCATTAGAGGGTAATTTTTGTTCACTTTCAAACATTTTGCCCTCTTATTAAAGCTTGCAACTTTTGCTAGAACCTTGAGAGCTCCAAGTGATTTTCTTGCCCAACATGTACACACAAAAGCCGTTGAAATTGAGTGTAGGTTTAAACAAAAAATCAACACATATAGGATACTAAAGAAGAAAAAAAGGGAAAAGAAAAACCACAATTTGAAGTATGTTCAACACGCGCGAGACTCAATATAGCTCCTTATCAACCATGGGATTAACTTATGAGAGAATTAGGTTTTAGAGATTAACTCAGTTGATTTCACCGAGTTGATGTAACACCTCGCAATCCTATTCTTAGAATGTCATAAGTGTATTTGGGTCCGGTGGTATACAACTTGTTCATATATGTTAAGGTCAATTCCTAAGTATAAGAAGTGTTTTGGATGTGAGTTAAGGTCATAATGAACCTTTAGCACAAAGTCGAGTTGAGAGGTTCCCTAACGATTAAGTTTTTCTCGTAAGTTCATTCAAGGATCAACTTCAATCAATCCTACCACCTAATATATGAAGAGTTTTGTGGCCTAATACCAAGAAAATGGAAGGTCGTGAAACCTTCTTTCCAGCACCTTCGACCGTTTGTCAATCCAAACTTTCTGCTAAAAGTAATGCCCATTTTACTAGGCACTACATATTCTATGTGATTCGCCACACGAAGTATATGCCTGCCGCGCGGCAAGGTTAGTGCTACTGTTAATTAAGGTTGCGCGAAGTGCCGTGTGAAGTAGTTTTAAGTTGCGCACCACGCAAGTTTCTTCGAAATTCCTAAGTTTTCTCTTCTTTTCACGTTCTAAGAGGGGTGTTTTTGTCCTTTCCTAATCCCATAACCTTAATCCACGTCTATTAACCTCTCCCACAAGCCCTATTCGTTCAGATTTATAAGTTATGAAAAACTTCATCTCCAAGAACTCCATAGAAGGGTTTCTCAAGGTCAAGCTATAAAAGATCCAAGTCTAGAGCTTTTTCTCCAAAAATCCCTAAAATTTAGCAAGGCTTTCCATTTCAGGTATATGGGATTTCATTGATGGATATATTTTCTTCCATTAAATCTCCAAGAAAACCTTATTCTTCAGTTAATCAAATTTTATAGAACTTAGGATTCATATGAAAAGCATGAATTAAATCTTATTTCAATTTTTTTTCATAAACAATCCATGAATACATGTTTTACCTAAAATTTAATAGTTTTATACGGTTATTTTCGTAAGCCCTCGGAATAGGAAATATTCATGTCTTTGAAATTGTGTTGCTTAAATTACAAGTATTATTCAAGATGATAGAATTTGTTATGATCAATTGTACCTTCAATATTTCAATTCCACGTGTATATGATGCTTCCACATAAAACATTTATTATTTCACTATTTTTGAGCTATCCAGTATTATCAGTATTGCACAATTTACCAGTATAATTCAGTTGAGATTTTTACTTAGCACCGAGTAGACATAGGAATGAAGGCTCACCCATTAGCTAGGACTGAGACCTTTATAAGTATCAATCCTTAAGTCTCAGAACTGCATCCCAACGTAGGTTTTAAGGGTCACCCGTTAGATCAGGACTGGCACCGTCAATTTTATATCCATGGATACAGAGTATCCCGACAACATCTACAATCCCGTCGTACCCTTTTCACAGTTGTCTCCGGTGGAGAAGTATAATCTGTTGAAATCGAATGTCGATGAATTAAAGCTTATTCAGGTTGGGATTACCCTTTCTGATGCTAATGGGAACTTGCCGGAATTGGTAATTGAAGGTGAATGGTTTCGGGTTCTATGGCAGTTCAACCTTTCTTGATTTCGATCGGAATCGTGATCAATACGCAGAGGCTTCAATATTCCAACTCTTTGTTAACAGTGGGATTGACTTCGAAAGGAATCTGGAATTGGGGATTAGATCAATTGATTTTGATGAGTTGTTGATGTCGGGTACTTGTTGAAGATTCTCAGTACTAAAATTTGAATTAAAGTTACTAAATTCTGTCAAATCGGTAGCCACCATGCAAACAAGAAATTGCATGCATTGGAGGGTAATATTTGCTCGTTTTCAAACATTTTGCCCTCTTATTAAAGCTTGCAACTTTTGCTTGAACCTTGAGAGCTCCAAGTGATTTGCTTGCCCAACATGTACACACAAAAGCAATTGAAAATGAGTGTAGGTTTAAACAAAAAAAATATCAACATATATAGGAGACTAAAGAAGAAAAAAGGGGAAAGAAAAATTACAATTAGAAGTGTGATCAACACGTGCGAGACTCAATCTAGCTTTTTTATCAACCATGTGATTAACTTCGAAAAGAACTAGTGTTAGACTTATGACCTCCTTAATTCTGCTGAGGAACACGTAATAGCAATATATGTTCCTTAACCTTAGATAGTTTCAAGTGAGTAATTATCCAATTTAATAACAAGCAATTCAGAACTTCACTTTTATATATTGAACACAACTTCAAACAACACAATGATTACACCAAGATGTAATCTAAGGAATTATAAACTCTTATCCCTTACTCCAAAGACAAAAACTCCACATTTAAGTCTTCTAAACTCTCCAAGTTGCACTAACTTGTTAGACTATTCCTACACTCAAAACTCGATTGTAATTAAACCAATTAATTGCAATATCAAACAACTCTCACAACCTCATAGCACTCCCAAGTAAATACAAAACTCTTTCAATACTTGATAATGTTTTGATTATCTCAGAGATTAACTCAGTTGATTTCACCGAGTTGATGTAACACCTCGCAACTCTATTCTTAGAATGTAAATCGGTTGTCAAAAGTGTATCAACTTGGGTCCGGTGGGATACTACTTGTTCATATATGTTAAGGTCTATTCTTAAGTCTAAAAAATGCTTTCGATGTGAGTTAAGGTCATAATTAACTTTTAGCACAAAATCGAGTTGAGAGGTTCCCTAACGATACATTCAAGGATCAATGAAAATTTAATAACGAAAACTATATAACTAGTAAAATTTTAATAATAGTTCAAATTATTCCCTAGAAATATCATTACCCTATAAAACAAAGATAAAGTCTACATTCATTTTACTATTCTACGACTCTACTCATGAAATTACACTGATTATATAGTTGTTTATCAAAACTACATACAAACACACCGTTTCTATATTTGGAGGTATTTTAAAAACCATATATAGGATTAATAAGGAATACTATATAAGTAGTAAAATTTTAAAAAATAGTTCAAATTATTCCCTCCATTTGGAAATATCATCAATTCATTTCCCTTTTAACTTCTCTTCTCTTCCAATAAAATCAGCTCTCTCTACACTCCCATCAAATCCACAAATCTTCATTCTTCCTTCGAAATCCAGAATTCATTTTCGATTTTGCGTTATACCCATTTCAAATCTTGATTATTCCTTCGAAACCCAGAATTACTTTTCGTTTTTCTGTATACCCATCTCTGAATCTTGGTGAATTTTCAATCATGGATGTTAATGGTGTAGATCCGAATCGATACCCGATTCTGATTCGAGAAGTATGGGCTGGTAATCTCAAAATAGCATTCAAAGAAATTTCTGATTCAATTGATAAATTCCCCTGTATTTCGATGGATACAGAGTATCCCGGCAGAATCTACAATTCCCCGGTACCCTTTTCGCAGCAGTCTCCGGCAGAGAAGTATAATGTGTTGAAATTGAATGTTGATGAATTGAAACTTATTCAAGTTGGGATTACCCTTTCTGATGCTAATGGGAACTTGCCGGAATTGGTAATTAAAGGGGAACGGTTTCGTGTTGTATGGCAGTTCAACTTTTCCGATTTCAATCGGATGTATGATCCCTACGTAGAGGCCTCAATCCAGCTCCTTGTAGACAGTGGGATTGACTTACAAAGGAATCTAGATTTTGGGATTAGATCAATTGATTTCGGTGAGTTGTTGATGTCGTCGGGGCTTGTATGCAGTGATTCAGTGAGTTGGGTAACGTTTCAAGGCGAGTTTGATATTGCATTCTTATTGAAGATTCTCAGGGGGCGTAATCTTCCAGTTGGGTTAGATGAGTTTTTCAAATTTGTGAAGATGTTTTTCGGAGATAAATTATATGATGTGAAGCATTTGACGTGGCATTTTCCTAATGTTCACGGTGGTTTAGACGTGGTGGCGGAACAATTTGGCTTGGTCCGGGTGGCTGGGAGGCAACATCAGGCTGGTTCAGATAGTTTGTTGACGTGTCACGTCTTTTATAGTATGAGAGATGGTTTTGTAGATGGTGTGCCATACGCCGGAGTTTTGCATGGATTAACTTGAAGTGTAATTAAATATCAATTTGATTAAAAGTGTATTGATTTGGTAAAGTATCTCTGTTTTTAATCTTGTGATCTGATATGTGTAAGATCACGAGATTGAAAATACATTTTACATAGTAATAATAATGTCTATCGGATTAATGATCCATGTACAGTTGTACGCGTTTTCTATCTAGTGCTAACCGATATAATAAGTTAACAATGTCTCTCATTGAATAGGGAAAGATAGACGTTTCTTTGTTGCACTTGTTCTTTCTCTTTCTGGAGTCATCGGTATCTGTCTTGGAGTGCTTTGTGACCGTTCTCGAGCCCTAGCTGATGCCGTAGCAGCCATGTAACTTGGCTGATCAACTGCTGTAGGTGAAGAGTTAACATTCACTCTATGGGAGAGAAGAGCCATTCGGTGATGGTTGTTCTCTTCCCTTCTGTAGCGAGGACTAGCAGAGTGAACTTGGATATTTTTCATCTTTAACGGTGGTGTCATGGGCAAGGCGTTGATATTCGCTCTATGGGAGAGAGGAGAAGGGACTACATACGATGAATAGAGCTTTTGTTGATGGTCGTGATAGTATTGATGGTGTAATCTCCGAAACTCAGTGTCCGAGTCAGAGTAAGAACAAGCCGTGTCAATTTCAATGTTCTTTATGCGATCTCTTGGTTGATCGCATGAAGCTCTACTAGTACTTTTGCGATTCTTTTCATCTATTAGGTCAAAAACTCTCAAACCCTCGTCAAGTTCTGTATTGCTACTTGAATCTTCATCCTTATTCGAGGTCCACATCTGTAATACAAAAATTTGAAGCTATTAGACGACGTACTTGAGGTTCTCTACTAACTAAAGAGGTGAATGACTTCTAAAAAAAGTATTCGAGGAAATATGAGAAGTTGACTAAGTAGAGAAAAGAGTCGAATATATATACCTTTCGAGAGAATGCATGAGCAAGAGTATTTTCGCGCTTTTTAGCAGCTGCCTTTGCTTTGTGTAACAAAGCTTCAATTTTTTCTAGGGCATGTAAATGATCATAACCATCGTTATCCGGAATACTAGCTTGATTTATAGACTACATAAACATGAAAAATAACATATAAGTATATTTTCTGTGTCGTTCCAATCTTATCGGATGTTCCCAAAGGCTTTAATATAAATTAGACACTCACATTGGACTCCTTATCATTGATATGAAGCTCTAAAATGCTTTTTGGCTCTTTGAACATTGAACCACAATTAATTCCTTCACAAGATAACCTTCTACGTTGATCACACACCTGAACATTTTTAGTTTAACAGTTCTGAACTAGAGTTTTATCGTTTATTGAGTTCTAAATAAACTATTTGTACATATAAAAAAAATTTAAATACAAATATAAGATTTGAGTCAAAATTACCTGAGTTTGCACGCGAACAAGAGATTGCATGCATTGGAGGGTAATTTGCGCTCGTTTTCGAACATTATGGCCTCTTATTAGAGCTTGCAACTTTACGACACCCTTGAGCGCTCCAAGTGCTTTTCTTGCCTAAAATATACACACACAAAAAATCATTGAAAATGAGTGTAGGATTAAACAAAAGTATCAACATATATGTAGGGAAAAAAAGAAGAAATGAAAAAATAAATAAATTGTGTTTCCTCTTCTTTTCTTTTTTAATCGACTGTTCTTAAATCATGAAATGACGCCTTAAAAGTATTTATGTAATCTATACCTATATGATTCATATAATAAAAGAGGTGATATGACATCTCTAATAAGCGACTATCACGAATTCACGATATCTTTATCTAGAAAAGAAATGAGTAAATCTTTTTCCAATATGATATACTCTCTTTCTAGTTATGTCACCTATTATTATTGAATGTAAGTTAGATACACAAATAAAGAATTTGATCGAAGCACGGATTAATTAATTAGTAATCTAAAAATAGTAATTAATCTATTACTATAGATTAAAATGCATCAATAATATTAAAACTATACACTAACAATCATGGAATATAACTTACTTATTAAAAATCATACATGAATTAAGTAGTATACCGATTATATATGTTACATTATTAACATAATTTAACATGCGATCAAAACAAAATATTATAATCGACATCATTATATTGCGAAAAATAATTTTTTTTTCACCATCGATAAAAAATATACAGACAATTATAAAGGTATATTTATACATACCAAGTACCCTCTGAATGTTGTCTGAATGACAAGGATGGCACATTGTTGTTTAACTAAAATAGGAGGTTGTGTGAGCTGAGTGATGTCTATAGTTGCTTGTGTTTTAGCAATTGCTACATCAGTGGCTATTGTAGAAGTTGTAGCGGCTGAGAAATTTAGATTATGAAATTTATGAGTAGATAAATAGAAAAAATATAGAAAGAAAAATAATAATTGAATTAAAGAATGTGATTATTTTATAAGATCTACGATTGTTTAGATTGAAATATTTATAAGTTTTTTGTAAATCTTTTAATTTTCCTTCTTTTTTAATTTATATGGCGCTTTTGTTTCAAGAGATTTAGCTCTCGTTTGGTCATAGATTTTGAAGTTGAAAATTGAAAATTAGAGTTTTTGAATTTGTGATTTTTGGAAGTTGATTTTGTGTTTGGACATGCATTTTACTTAGAAAAAAATTTAGAAGTTTTGTGATTGTAAGTCTCAAAAGACTCAAAACTGACTCACTAGTCTGAGCCGATTTTTGAGAACTTGATAATATTTTAAAACTAGATTTTCAGAATCTGATCAAATTTTATAGTTGAAGATAAATTTTCAGAATTTACTCCCAAAACTCTATGGTCAAAAGTTAGCTTAGTATGACTAGTCATGAAAGCTAAGTTGAATTAGATTAAATCAATATTTCAAAATCAAAATTTATATATTCAAAAGCTATAAATATGAAAGTACTATTAGTTACTCCTGATTTGTTTCATTTTACTTGGCCTATATCAAAAATAAATATTTCATTTTAATTCACTTGTCCATTTTATCAAATCAAGAGAGTTTTTTTTTCTCATACTATCCTTAGTATTAAATAACTACGTAAAATAGTATACTAGTTAAATTTAGAGTTCAAGAAAATCATTAATGAAGTTAGTTTAGTAAAATACATCTCTAATTAGTCAATATGGTACGAAGAAAGTACATTGTTTTCTCATATCAATAGAATAAAAAATTGTGTTAGTAAAAGTTTATAAATAATTTGGATCTCGAAAAATGAAAAGAATCACGTAAATTGAGACAAATAAAATACAAATACAGAATATGAACAACCTGATAAGCTAGATCCGCCCCTAGTCATAGCTACTCCAATTGCTCCTTTTTGCTTCAAATCAGCATTTTTTGGCAAAAAATTTGTAGCCAAATTTCCTTTGCTTGTTGTAGCTGCATTTTCTTGATCGTGATTGTGATGAATTAATGTTGTTTCGTGAACAGTAGGTTTTCGGAAGATCCATCGTCGTTTCCCCCTCTTCTACAAATAAAAAAAATTGAAATTAGCTATGAACTTCGTTACTAGTCTATGGCTAGATTGTTATTCAAGGATAGAATTTATCCGTCGTTAATTTCTATATTTCTAGTAGTGAACTAATCAACAAAATAACTCTAGATCTTCCCTCTATGTCTCATAATGTTACTATCAAGAATTAGCAATGGACAACTTTTGTAGCTAAACGAAAAATAATATTGTGATCACATTTAATTTTTTGCTCTCCTGATGACTTGAACCTAGAATTTTAGAGTTGGAGGTGAGGATATACATAATACTTTACATCTGAACAACCCCTCTTGTCTGCTAATTCTATTTAGCGATGAATTAGTTGCAAAAACGATCATTGCTAGTGTAAATTAATTAACATGTTTATAATTAAGTAGTTTACCTTTTCTTCTTCTTCTTGGTCATGAGCTTCTTCTCTTCTTCTAATACTTTTGATATCATTCTCTTTGATAGGTGATCTAAAAGCCTTCTTCATTAACCCTAACCAAGAAGGCCCTCCAATTATACTCTTCCCTATGAAACATTTTGTTAGCAAACTTTCATCTTGTGTTACTAAACTTAGTTGATGATCATTTGTTGTTGTTGTTGTCCCTTGGCCTTGTGTTTGCTTGCTATATGAGGGGATATGTTTCTTCTTCATAATTTTGTTACAAAATGAAAGCTTATTAAAAACATAAAATACTTTGATGTATATATATATAAGTAAAGGTTAAAAAACTTTCTCAAAAGATTGATTGCTTCGTTCTGAGGATAACATGTAGACGGCCAGATACACTCTTAAATACATATACACGGGAGAGAAGCGAGCGACAGAGGGAGAGAGAGAGTGGGGAAAGAGGCGAGCGAGATAGGAGGAAACGAGCAAGAGAGTTATAAGTGTATCTCAGACACATGTGAATCACTCTAGATACATGTATATGGAATACTAGATATATACATTCTGAACTACAGATATATATGGAGAGAGACGAGCGAGTTAGTCAGAGGCGAACCCAGAATTTGAAGATGCTGAATTCGAACCCAAGTCTCGCAGGTGGATCCTCTAGCTTGTACCAACAACACAATGACACTCTTATGTTTTTCATGGGTGCATTGTTAATTATATCTTAATTTCTATTAGTTTCTCACGAAAAATATACATAGATATACATGATTTTTTCCAATGTTAACGGGCGCATGTGCACCCCCACCTAGAGTGGTGGATCCGCCTTTGGAGAGAGTCATTGTATCTCAGATACATGTGAATCCACTTGAATATAACGTATCTAGAATACACATAATTTCAACCTCATGCATCCGAGATATATATATCTGGACATGACCAAAATCTAACTAATAGTAATTCTAAAATGAAAACACTTGAGTACGTCCTAAATTAATGAGATTTATGTTATTTATTTTTATTTTAATTTATTTATCTAATTTTAATTTGACACAAAACAACGATTGCTTACAAAGAAAAAGAAAGGTGAAATCATGCATTGTGGACATGCCAAAGACATAATGTTGAACATGTCAGATAGTTGGATACAGCTACGTCACGAGTTATGATTTATCGAGATAATTAAAAGCTGCAAAAAGCATATATTATATGGAATTGTTAGCTAGTGTTGGCCTTTTACTACTTTCATTTTCCTTTTTTGCATTCTTCTGGAAAAGACAACTGACTAGATTCTCTTTGGCTTAGCATGTCATTATAGGAGCTCGTTTGAACTTAAAAATGCATATGTTTGTCCTTCGGGATCAACTCATGCCATTAATAAGGTTTTAACAGATGTTCATGAAAAATTTCGGTCAAAAATAAGCCGGAATTCCCAATTATCAAAAATTCATGGACTATAACACACAAAAATCAGTAAATCTGGATTTTTTTGCTTTGGGGCTCGTTTGAACTTGAAATGCGACCGCTTTTTTCTCGGGACCAACTCACGCCATTAATAAGGTCTTAACAAACGTCCGTGAAAAATTTCGACAAAAAATAAGCCGAAATCCCGAATCACCAAAAATGTAATTGTGTGGTAATTATTTAGTGACAATAATATAATTGTTACTTATTTTATATCTAATAACAATAAATAAATAAATATTAATATTTAAATCAACATTCTATATAACTATCGCTAAAGGCTTTAAAGAATTTGAATACAACAACATTATAAACTCAATGTCACTAAATATTTTTGTGGCAATAAATATTGTCGCTAAAAGAAAATCTATTGACACTAATTAAATGTTTGTTTTGTTGTAGTGAACCAAGTATTTTATATAGGAGAGCTATGTACTTTTCATTAAAAATGGCGCTAGATGTACGAATAATCAATATTATGTTTGATAATTTTATTTTTTTACATAATGAAATGACATATCAGTATTAGAAATATAAGATTTTTTTCACTGCAAATTAATAAAAAAATTATGTTATACAACACATGATAAAAAATAGATTCTTATAAAAATGCTGAAATAGCCATTAAATATTTTGTTTTTTCTTATTAATTTATTTAATCAAAACATTTATGAGAACAAACACTCAATTTTTTTAGTGATAAATTTCAATGAAAAAATAAATTTTATCCATACTATTTACAATTGACTATATACTTGTGATACATAATAATTAAATTAATACCAAACATGATAGTAATGATACTACTTTAATTATGACATAATACATAAATATGTCCTTTAATTTGACCTTATTTCACATATATACTCTTCAACATTGAGTGTGCACAAGTAGACACTTAAACTTTTATAAAATGAACAAGTAAACACATAAGTCCTATGTGGCATAATACACACAGAACAACACGTAGGATGCAAATTGCCATGTAGGATGTCATGTAAGACACGTGTGTCTATTTATTCATTATTACACAAGTTTGAGTGTCTACTTGTGCATTTTCAAAATTAAAAGGCATAACTATAAAATGAGGCAAAGTTAAAAGGCATAGATGTATTATGCCTTTAATTATTATGTACAACAATCTGATGAAGAAAAGTATCCTAATTAAGTACTTTTTTATCTTTTCTTAATGGTCAATATTGTTAGTTCTTTTCAGGCATAACCTTTTAACTTAGCTTAATCTCATTTCTACGTGTCTCAATTTTGAACGTGCATAAATAGATATTTAATTTTTTATAAAGTTGAGCAAGAGCTACACGTATCTTACAGAAAATTCGCATGAGACACACTTAAATTGATCCGACAACTCTTTAATATCAATTTTCACGTGATATGTTTAAAACCACATTATTAAAAAAATATCTTGATACTTTTCACATATATTTAATTTAATTTAAGACCATATTTTAAAAAAAAAAACTTAAATCAGATAACAAATTAAAACGAAGAAAACAATAATTATACAGTGCCAAAGTGAAAAATGTATGTAGTTGTTTTCTCTTTTTCTTTTTCCTTTAAATGTCCATTCTTACACATGGAGGATGTCAGTCGCTACAAAATAAATTGAAATTAGTTACAAACTTAATAGTTAATTCATTATTAAATTATTTTCAATTAACATTAACTATTTGATAATTCATCACTAATTAGAATTAACCAAAAATTGCAATATATTTAATTATAAAATCTATCCTTATTATTATTATTTTTTAATTATAATAAACTATAGATAAGCCAGAAAGCAAAGTGCCCCCTACAATTATATTCATAAAAGAAAAAGCATGCAAAGCCACAGAGTTCAAATGCATGAAAAGTCGTGGAAGCAGAAGAAAGATATATAAAGGTTATATACTCTTTAATTAGTGGCCAAAAAGGAAAAGATAAAGAAGAAGAAGAAGATAGCTTTTGAAAATTGTTGGAGTTATTTGAGCTTATTAATTAAAATATTATAAAGTATTTCATCATCTTTCATGTTAATGACTATTATGGTCCATAATATTTCCTAAATCTTAGAATAAGTGTCATTTTAATTAAAGAAAAATATATATTATATTTATTAATTTCTTAATCACTGCATTAAAAATGATCTTTAGCGGCAATTTATTAACGGCAATAGCTTAATTGCCGTTAAAAATGTATTTTTAGCGGCAATTAGCACTCTTTGTATATGTCCCTAAAACCTTTAGTGACACTGGATCTAATGACACTTAACTAATGCCAGTAAAAACTTTAACACTCTTTATTAATGTGTCTATTTATTACCTCTAAAAGTTATTTTTGTTGTAGTGAATTGATGTATTTTTTGTCAAGGTAACACTTATACTTGGGATGGGAGGGAGTAATTATACACTGTGGAAGTTATTATTAGTATGATTTAGCTCTCTGGAAAGATTTGCAAGCTATTGGACAGAGCGAGATGTATTCAGTGTGCACCCAAAGGATACCCAGTGGTTGTCGATTTTCTTATCAAAAATACAATTTTAAACAAGAAATACATATACACTACTATAGCATGTTGGTTGTGTTTATGTTGCGAAAATATTGGCGATTACCTAGCACTTAATCACAAACAAAGTACTATATTTGGAATAGATAACTCCCCCAATTTGAAGACTCTACAAGTAGACAAGGAAGGGATAATTTTTGTTGTAAATGAAATATCAAGTACTATATCGGATAGTGTTCGATATTGACATTGGAGCGGATTTCTTTCTCATCAAAGTAGGTGTTCGCTCCGCAGCACGAACAGGTCGAGATGCGACGTCGATCACATCGGGTGGGGCCATTCTCCCAGAGCAGAGCTTGAAGCAAGGGTCAGAACTTTAGGCGGGGCCTCTGTCGATAGAGCTAAAGCAGTCATTCATTAATCCACCCTCGACATACTAAGCAAAAGGGCTGATCCAACTACAGAACAAATACAGACATAAAGATAAAAAATACTGCACAGAGCGCCCGCTCTAAAAAGCTGCCCTCCGACATTCGTCCTTCAAACTACCCACCAATCATCCAACACAACCAACTATTCATAAAAGAGAAATGAATTACAGAAATCAGTGAATGAAATAAGGCGGAAAAAAAAAAGACCTAGGAACGAGCAGGGAGGATTGGTTTCCCCACCTTAAAGTACCGAGCATTTTAGGATGGATCTATGATTTCAAGTCCACTCGTTGATTTCGAGAAAACCGAATCAATTGACTTTTTTCCCAGCGATGCCTCCAACTCGAGATTTTGATTCATAGAACTGGCCATCAAATGTTGCGCATCCAACAACTGAAAGAGCTTGCGGAGAAGGGTTGAGTTGCGTAATAGCAGATTCGTAGGTCAATAAATCGTTGGATTTGAAATCGAACTCTCTACCTTGGGCGGATATGAATTGAGACTTTCAATGGTCCGCTCTTCTCTCCTCGTGATCGAAGCTGACCCCAGAAGTTGGGTATGTTGGGTTTTATTTGCCCTAAATTTCTTACCATAAATAAGTTTTCCTTTTAGAAAAAGGTTTTAATATTTTACTAGTCCTTTTCTTGTAGGAAAGGTTTAGGACTCTATAAATATAGGCTTGTTCCTTCTAACTTAATCAGCATTCACAATGTAGTCTTAAGGGCTTTGAGAGTTTTGGTTAGGGGGAGAATTTGTGGGTCACAAGCTTGATACGTTATCACTTGTGTGAACCTCCCATGTATTCCGAGTGAATTGGTTGAGGTTATTTCTCTCTATATTTTGTACTCTCATGTTTATATAGTGGATTGCT